AGTTTGTTAATCATATGTTTGGCATCGACTAGCAATTTTTTGCACCTTCAACGGAGAATACTGGTTATTTTTGCTGGCTGCCTTGCTAATCTGCTTCACCACAGCTGTTCGTTCGACATTTGTCTTTAATGACTTTAGATCGGTCATGTTCTTTCAAACGGGAATTTTTCGACTATTTGTGAAGCGACAGCTGTTACCGTATTTGACGTTAGGCTAGTTTTTCTTTCAGAAAATTGCTAATTACCTGCTGGTTACGTGAAACGAGTTGATTTCATCGAGTTACATTTATCGACAAAGCCTCATTCCGTAATACCCATTCGTCACCGAAACGCGAAACGCTTATGGGCCGGACGAAAAAAAGTGTTTTCCGTTCATTTGCTGGTTTCGGTTGTAAGGTGTCTTCTTATATTATCTATTCGTACTGTATATTTCCCTTTAGAAAAGTGTTCATCTCCGTCTAATATTCAGCACAATTATCTGCATTATCCTAATATTTGATCGAACCGAACGGCATGCCGGTATTTTCTAGCTAATTCAGATTCATCACAACTTCACATGTTTAATAACCTATCGCATTAGGCTGTTATGCATTTAGACATATATACCTGCACATATTGGCGAACTTCTGACAAATATTCTACGATATGTTCATGTTCAGCAATTTCTTAATTATTTGAATTATAACTAATTGGACATAGACTTCAACGGTTGAATGTGTGCATTGTAAAATGTATCATATGTTGCATTAAAATGACGAGTATATGTATCATGGAAAAGAAAAGGGAAACTTACCGTTGATATGTTTAGCGTGTGTGTTCTGTTTCCTTTCCACAGATTGGTATTCATTTGCAATCCTCAACATAAAGAAGGGCAAGTGACCGCAAACTTAGCTTGAACTCAAAGCCTATCGGTTCTGAGTTAGTCGCTTTAGCGACTAAGCAACTGCGGTTTAAGCCACACAATTGCCGTTGCAGACTTGTTAGCACACCGCTCCATGTTGTGCAGGAAGTATCGAACACTGAGATGCCATTATATTGCTAAAGTAACATTATTCCTTTAGGTGGGAGCTGATGCATGTTGTTCGAGCTTATCTTTGTGGCGTTTGAAATTCGTTCCGCTGCCTTGAGTTTTCTTATTAATTATTTTTTGTTGAACTTTCTTAGCAGTTTTTTTGAGCACGGAACCGAACCTACTACGCCCTGCTTAAATCAGCTGTCAATCATGTCAGCTCGAATAGTTTACAAAACCGTTCGAAGAAAATACATACAGGTCCAGTCGGCATAGTCTATACCGGTTAAGTAAAATTTATAGTCTGATTTACAGTTACTTGTCTGATGTGCTTCCATCACGTTTGAACGTGGAATCACTTGACTATTGATATATATCGTCAGAATGAAAACAATCAAGCCTCAAAGTCGAAAAGTGTTTGCAATGCACCCTAATTCTTTATAATTCTACTACAGTTGACAGCGATAGCGCATAATCGTACTCTTCATTGCGAAATGGGCAGTCAGCTTGGTGCGATATTTTCACAAAATCATTGTCAGGACGTGCAGTTAATTTTTCACCCTACCACTACTGATACTTTGCATATTTACTTTTCATTTTAGTCGATTGTTTCATGTTACGTGCCCCCTTAATCACTGTTTATGAATTACTACTCTCGGCTATCCTCATATGCATTTGGCAGTATTTAAAATTTTTTCAAGCCCCTTCAAAAGCCCAGATATGCGTTTCACGCTGCTGGTGTTGCTTCACGCTTAAAAAACTTTTGCTAAAATTGTTCGTGCGTGGTTTTGTGCCTCGTTTGTTACATGTGAGAATCGCACCCTATCTACAATTTCATAACAACTATTCTGAGAGAAATTTTACAGATGGCAGCGCAAGCCATTGTTGTTGTTGCTTTCATCATCATCTGAAGTATGAGGGCAATAAAGGCTGAGTACACAGATTAATATTTGACGCTTCGGTTTATCAGAATAATTTCTTCGACTGCGATAAAAGCCATACTTTTCATCGTAAGCTGCACCTCTAGCAGCTGCCGTAGGGTGTGACGTTTTCCTCTGACCGTTCACTTCCATTTTTTGCTTCAAAGCTCCTATGGTTGAAGAGTGATAACCGCTGAACATAGAGCAAACAGATAAGCGACCAGGACGACGTTGAATACCATGAAATTTATGAAAATGACCATCAGTTTTCGCTACAAATAACAGCACTGACTGATACTGGGTTTAATTCAATATTCCTTGTAAATGTACTTTAGCGCCAATCTGCGTTATTTTCCTGATTTTTTTTGAATTATGTTTCTTTTTCCTTGCCTCCAAATCAGTTTGTAATAGCCGTATGAACATTCTTCAGATTATGAAGTGTCGTTGTTTTCTTTCTCAGTCTGATGTTAAAATCGCTCCTATTAATTTCATGTTGCATTTAGAGAAACAATAGTTTATAAGATTATTATACATTAGGAAACAACGGCGTTGTCATGCAGTGAAATACCTTCGACGTTAAGTGTTAAAATTATGGTGTCACGCGCTGCTTCAAGCACCGATTTTCGGCTTACTGAATTTTATACTGTTCACAATGTGTCGCTTAGGCTCATTCCAGTCGCACCGATGATACTAGTGGACCGCACATCACGGGAGCACCGTAATCATGAATGAATTATTGGTCAGCCACCCGACCAAGCATGACATCGGTCAGATCACGCAGGCATGGAACGACAGTCGCCAGCGCAAATATAGCATGCACATATGCAAGCTTCATAAAAACCCGCCCAGTACTTCACCCGAGGTAGAGAACTCTTCGGAAAGTGGTAACCATTTTTTGGTATTATATTCGTATTTACTTTGGGCTTATTTTCAAACAGCAGCAATTTTTGAGAGGAGAAATTTTTGGTACTAAGATGAATTTACGATTGTCACAACGAAACAATATAAGCGCGACTTAATTAAACACAAAGCTATGAATCTATGGGATCTGTCAGGGGGGAGGTAACATAATCCTTGTATTTCTTTTTAAACCCCATATTGCTCATCTTCTTCTGTGTAAAACCGACGAATTACGGTCTTTATTGTTCTTATTTTTAATGTGATCGAACCGAGGTTGCGTTTTTGGTCCATGCACATGCTTTAATAGTTTTTGGCTAGATATTAGATATCTAGATATCTTTCTGAAATGATATTATCGTTGTTGATTGTAAAAAGCTTCTTCCGTCATCTGATGGCTTCCGTATACAGCACAGCTGCGAAAGCCGAGTTTTGCCTTAAAATCCGGTAGTTCAAAGTTATGTGAAACCCATCAGACAGTGCTGATCTACTGGAGGAACAGGGAAGGAAAGTAACAAGGGAAGCTGATCAGTTTGACTGCCTCGGCTCAGTCATCCATCGATGAAACCATCATATCAGAACTAAATAAAAAGAACACCATCGCATCCATTGCTTTTGGAAGATATTTGGACTGAGAAAGTGGTAGTCCATTCCATAGAAATGCGTATGTACCTTGCTTCTGTCAGGTCGATATTATGTTGTAATGAAGGAGCAAGAAATTGAACTGCATGGAACAGGATTTCCTTCAGCACCTAATAATGGCTAAATACCAAGGTCATTTAATTAATGAATCCTTTCTCTTGTAGGCACAGGTAACTTGAACATACTTGGAGATTAAAAAAGCCATGTTCGCCCTGTTAGACTTTTTGAGCATGAACCATTTACTCCAGTCGACAAAGGTCTCGTGTACGAGCCGAAACATTGCAGACGTCGGGATGAGGTCAGTATACAACATGGAAAAACAAATCAGTGATTCGCTTTCGAAGAAAAATATTAGCATGCATGTAATCGATGTATGATTTGATGCAATAACCGCTGCCTTATAGCAGAATTGCTGTGAAACTGCGAACACAACGGACTTCAAAAACCATGAACTTTCTGCTTATATATGTATACTAATATATTGGGATAGCTTCCAAAAGGGCAGACGAGACAGCTACTCGCTTGGCCGATTGGCGGAAGATCCTGAGGAAAGCCGAAAATTATCTGTGACAAGTCCTTGAAGGTCCTTGCTCTTGATTCGGCTTATATTGTTGTTCACATGCCGTTGCAGTATGTTAAAACTAGCCATGAAGTATAAACATTTATGTTAGTCTTAAGGTAATCACTTTAAGCTGCTTGCATAGTGTGTTCACAGCTTTACGGCATTTATCTATGAGTCACAGGTCATTGTATCGTGGTAGGAAATATTTTTCCCAAAAACAAAATCGGTCTCTTTTTGTTAATCCGCGTTGCGTGATTGCCTCCTTGTCAACGTTTGCGTTATTTCGGCCCCAACACGAAAACCTCATCGGCTGGAATAACGTTGTACGTCTAATCAGGACGTTTGACTAAGAGGGCCAGCCTCCTTTT